TGACCAAGGAACAAGTTGAGCCCCCCATGATTATACACTGCTTCTGTAATGGATTTAGCACTACACTAAATCCCGCTGTAGCCCTGAGGTTTTTTTTTTTTTAATCAAATAGGAGATCTCTTTTGCAAGGTGCAAATGTTTTTGCAGAAATGACAGGCTTTCAGTGCACTGTATTGCAGAAGGCAGTTTATGAAGCCATTAGAGAAGACGTGTAACTCAACCTGCCTCTCAGTTCCTGTTACCTTGATGCGGGAGCTGGACATCAGGACTGGGTAAAAGGGCCCAAATACAGGAGCTTAAGTAGTTTGCCACATCACACTTTTTTTTTTTTTACTCTTTCTAGTAGTAGCATACTTGGCTGATCTTGTCTGAGCTCAGAAGCTAAGCACTGTTAGCCTTAGTTAGTACTCGGATGGGAGACTATCAGGGAATACCAGTATTGTAGGGCAGAGCTGGAAGTAAAAAATCATCTCGGGAGGTGGCAATGACAAACCACTTCCAAACCGTTGCCTAGAAAACTGCATGAATGTGTCCATAAAGTCACAAGAGGTTGAGTTGCTCAATTTTAAAGTTTATCTTTACAGGAGGAAAAGAAATTTATTTCTCAGTGCAGGACTGAATGAATGGGTTGAGGCACTACAAGCTGGCAAATGAGCATTAATTGGTTGGGACACTTCTACGTTCATCTACTGGACACAAACGTTCTAGATGCCTGGCTGTTCTCAGTGAGTGCAGTAGACTCTTAAATAAGTAAAAAGTAAAAAATAGCTTTTCCCATAATGTCTTGGTATATTGAAATAGTCTGAACAACCCAGTCAATCCTAGCTGTGTTTCATTGTGAAATCAGAGGAGGCTGATGATGGACACATCAGTTGTCTGGAAGTGCCTAAGGTTCTGTGGGCCTTATTCTCTACTATATTTATCACGGAGTAAGAATTTGTGGACTACAATCTACATCATTAGAAGCGTCCCTCTTCATTTAGATGTTGTGCAAGTATTAGTTTATCTGACATTTGGTCAAGTCAAATTATGATTTAGCTGGGGGAAAAAAACCATTTATCTTTTAGAGATGAACAAGTAAATGATGTCATAGCATTCTAAATTCAATTTTGGACAGCGGCTATCCCTTTTTTTTTTCTTTTTTTTTTACAATTGTCTGCTTTGATCAAGGATAATTTTCTGCAGTCCTCCACTTATAATGACTATAACCTAGTCACTATATAACAATAACTCCACCTATAATCACCAGAACGACCTAATTATTTTAAAAATCAATAATCCTTAAGCAAGTAAACTTAAAATCCTGGAAGATTAAAACAATGCAGCCCATTACATCATCCTCTGAAAGGCTGTAAAGACTATTTGGTTTTATCTTAGAAGGATGCTACCAATCCTTTATGACACTCTATTTAGCTTATTTTTTTTTTCTTGATATATTCTTCATTGTGGAAACCATTGTGAGACTCAAGTGTAACCAAACATGGAGAACAACCCAATTCAGTGGACTTTGTATGTTGTAAGCTTCCTGTCTTCTGAGGACTGGACCAAGAATACAATAGCTTGACTTTATCTTTCGAGCATCACTGCACCAGTTAAAGAACCCTATTAAAAAGTCAGACCTGGCAATGTGCTCCCAAGTAGCCTGTGATCAAATAAAAGATACTAGTGTCCCCTTTGCCATTGTATTTCATAATAGCTGAGAACAAGAGATACAGGCCACAAGATGGTGCTGCATCACCATCCTTTAGCAGAGGGAGTTTTGGAGCCTGATTAAGGGACAAAGCTGCAGTTTTGTGTGTGTGTGTGCTTGTGTGTGTGTGCACGCGCCTTCCAGCCAGTGTTGGCTCCTGGCAACTGCCATGACAGGTCCCTGCAGTTCGCTTGCAAGATTTTTCAGAAGTGGTTTGCCATTGCCTCCTTCCTAGGGCTGGGAGAGAGGGGCCGGCCCAAGGTCACCCAGCTGGCTTTGTAGTTTTGTAGAAACATCTAATGCCAAAGCTGAGTTCACACACTGGATTCAACCATCTTTTGTTCCACAGCCCAACGCCTGAGTTCTCACAACCTAAATTAAAACGGAACAAACTCCACTATAGATTAACCGAATGTGCAAACTCAGACTGTCCGGCATACCCTACATGTTCCTTAGTTTGCTTTCAGTCTCTCCTTTTGTTCTGCAATGCCGTGTGAAATGCAGCAAGGCATCACTACCTTTAATCTTTCCAGCTTGGCTGGTTTACAGTACAGGCATGAGTTCTGAGGGTTTAATCTACATCAGTGTAGATGCAGACTAGTGCAGGCTAGCTGGGGAATTCTGGGAGTTGAAGTCCACACGCCTGAAAGTGGCCAAGTTGGAGAAACACTGATCTACATAGACTCCCCATTTGGAGAAAAAAAAATCACGAAGCGGCCTAAGGCTGGTGCATATTCACACGAACAAGATTAAGACGCGCGTTTGCCTTCCTTCGGACAGCGAGTTCCACCGCCAGGCCGCTCTTCTCTCTGGAATCGTGAGAGCCACGCCCACCAGCAGCCTTCCGCCCCTCCTCTCGCCTTCCCGAGTTCACTCCAGCTCTCGCGAGAGTCGCGTCAGCGGAGCACAGCCGGAAGTGGGCGTTCCGAGAACCGTCGAAGGAGGTTTTCCTTTTCCGCTCGCAGTTAGGAGGAAGTGGAGGGCGCTCTCGGGCCGGCATGGCGGTCTGTTGGTGGTGGTGTCTGCTCCTCTGTCAGCTGGCTGCCTGGGGGAGTGCGAAGCCGTTAGAACCAGGAGAGACCCATGAGAAGACACCTGGGGAGAATAATCCAGGTCAGTTTAGGGCCCCTGAAGGGGAGACGGGCAGTTCTGTGCTTTTCCCCGTCCTGCCCGTAGACCTGAGCTCATCGCTTTGCTGTGGCGGGTAGGAGGATGAAACAGTAATGGAAGGAAAACTACCACCTGCCGCTCCAGAGGCTCCTCCTAGCCTTGCTCTTGGTGACTGAAGCTGTCAGAATGGTTTGTACAGTCCACCTTCCCTTATATAGACCAGCGTTTCTCAACCTCAGCCGCTGTAAGATATGTGGACCTCAATTCCCAGAATTCCCCAGCCAGCACGACAGCTTCTGGATATCCCTTCCTGCAACCCCTGATGCCACAACCTGGATAGCCCCTAAAGCTGGGGAATTCTGGGAGTTGAAGTTCACGCATCTTAAAGTTGCTGAGGTTGAGAAACCCTATAGACCATTTTGACAGCTTCTGGATATCCCTTCGTGTGACCCCTGAGCCCCATGACCTGGATAGCCCCTAAAGCTAACACACCATATATAGTCATCTAAAGAGCGATGGTCCATGAATTTAATTCCCAGTAGAGGGTTTGAACCCCATAGACCTGGCAGCCTGTTTCTGTACAGCCTCAGTAAAGGGCAAAACCTGTCACCTCCTGGTGGTCAGTGTAGCGCCAGGTAACAGGTATTTCATCTAGGTCAGTCTTTCCTACCTGATGCTCTCCGTTGTGGTTAAGGCATCAGGCTAGAAACCAGGAAACTGAGTTCTAGTCCCACCTTAGGCATGAAGCCAGCTGGGTGACCTGGGCCAGTCACTCTCTCTCAGCCCTAGGAAGGAGGCAAGGGCAAACCACTTCTGAAACCTTGCCAAGAAAATGGTAGGGACTTGTCCAGGCAGTCACCAGGAGTCAACACTGACTCGAAGGCACATAAACAGACAAACAAATTTAGGAGTCCCCCGTCCAGTGTAGGTGAGAATTTTGCAAGTTGTCCCTTCACATGCATTATGTGGAGCGAACCAAAATTGCCTGGGTTCACTCACAACACTTAAGTCAAAATATAACACATTGTAAAACGGCTTAGTTTCAGTGTGTGACTAGCGTTTCTTGCCTTATTGAATCAGGCATGCAATTGTATAATGGAAACACAGAGATTAGAAATGGCCATACAGGCACTTCTTGGAATGATGAGATCTTGCCATGATGTGGCATGAATGTATACAATTCACATTGCACTATTAAGGAAACAGTGCAATGTGAAAATGTTTTTGGCAGTTGTTGTGAGAAGGTTGCTCACTTACATTAGAAACCAAAGCATTTGGAGATAGATGCAACAAAGAATACTTTATTGGAATGCACTAACAGTGATCGTTGGGGTCACTGCCAGCATACAGCAGGAGAGAGAGCCCTAAGCAAAACAGCTCCTCCGATTATATACATTTGATCAATTACATTTGAAGTAGAAATATAAAAAGAATAATAAAGTTGCACTGCAACCCTTCATCTGAAGCACCTTGATAAGCTGTTGAAATTATCTCCGTTATATTTCACACTTGTAGTATTCTTCCTGATATTATCAACATGATAATGTTTTTTATCAATAAAAAACAATGTTCACATTGCAATCTCCTGTTAACACCATTCCATTCTTCCTCTCTAGAAAGATGACTATCTGGTTTATGTTAACTATCTTTGGCCCAAGGCCACAGCACTAGGTACTATGTTACACAAATACTCTACTACTTCTAAGCTACTTAAAGAATTGTACTTGTAAATGGATGAATATATTTCAGCATGATTTGATATTTTGCACTATACTACCACACAGTACTATTGTAGTATACAGAATACTTTTTAACTTTAAATTCTCCACATTTTAGGGTTATCCAATGATCACCCACAGTTAACGGAGTCAACTCAAGGTGCTTCAGACACAGCCACAAGTTCTGCAGGACATAAACAACCTGGAACTCTACAAAGTAACTCCCAAAATAGCCAGCCAAGGTCATCTCTGCAAGTCTCTGATAAACTAAACAAATCAGGGAATCCATCAATTAATGACAGAGATTCCCAGTCAAATGCTA